TTTTGTTATTGTTTGCTTGTTACATGCATTAGTGCTGTATCATTGCTGTTACTTTTCCTTCGTCTTTTTGCTTTTCCGTTGCGACGTTGTGCAAGAGCAGGGTGGGTGAGGCTCGGTTGTATTTTTACCCATTGAAATGCGATGCACTGCTCTTCTGACTCGCAACTCACGCCGGGGTCCGAGGTGGGGTGGGGGGGGGGGTGTAATGAACGGGGCCAACCCTGCGACGCGCCGAAGCCTTCGTGGATGGACATGTCGGTGGTGACTGCGGCGCAGACGCGGCGGCACGAGGCCCATCGACCGCATCTATTGGTAGCCCTTTCACCGCCGTGAAGGGTGCATTCGAGGTGGAGGATTTCTCTATGATTAAGCGGCAGAAGATGACGCTTACGAAGCTGATGCATTTGATAACGGACGCAACGTTTCGGCTGTAGGACCCTGAGAGCCAAGTGTACGGCGGCGACGGCGCGACGCAAAGGGCGGCGTTGTGCGAGGACCTGAAAACGATGGACCACCACATCACCCCTTTTGCTCACGAAGAGCTGCTCAACGACTACCTCAAGAACGTCATGGCCTTAACTGGCCCATCAGGTCAGGTGTGTAACCAGGAACTGCTGCGGGGACGTCTGGTTGGTTAACGTTATTTTACAGAGTAGGAGCGGTCATTGCCCTTTATGCGGCAACTGCAACCTTTTCATCAGAACATCGGCACAATTTTGTGGTTTTTGGTATTTTACTGGGCAACAAGTAGATGGAAGACGTGACACGACAGCATGGTTTTTTTCACTGGACCCACCGCAAGGGTGCAACCTGGGTGACGCGGGACGCAGGGGTTATGGTGCGTCCGGTGTCGCCACTGCCACGGTCGATTGTGGTTGACGGCTCTAGTGGCGAGGACATGACACGTAGTGGATTGCCGGCTGTTGTGACACACCCGGAAACTTGCTTTCAAGCATGGCGTCGTGGGGCTCCCCGTCACGAGTGGAGGGACTACTTCAAGACACTTTACATGTAAGTGTGCTGCATTCCACATATATATATATATATGTTCTCTCTACATTTTCGTCCGAGTTTGACACCGCTCACCCACCTCAGTTACAAACAGGGCAATGTCACGTTGGAAATTTCGACTCGGAAGACTGAAAATAAAGCAACCAATACTCTCTCCTCCAACTCTTTTCGCCTGTCATTACTGTGCCGTTTGCCTAAACTCTGCAGACTCGTTTATTTATTATCGTAGTGCTTATAGAAGAGGGGTGTTTGCGCCGCATCGAGTTGCGTGAGTGTGTGAGTGCAGAGAAGGGGCGGGGGCGCAGCCGGCAGTTTATGCTCCGTTGCCTCGCGAGGGGGGGCGAGTGCATGTCCATATTGGGGCTAGGGACGGCGGAGGATGGTGGACAGGCGGGGAGATGTGAGGAGGAAGGGGTGGGCGACGGGGTGCTGCTTTCTGGTGCGTGTGCGGGGGGCGGGGGCGCCTGTTGTTCCTGATATTTGTTTGTTTGTTTTTGCGCCTGCCCGCTCTCTTCCCCCCACACGCACACGCTACGCACTCTCCTCCCCCCTCCCACTCTTCCGTGCCGTGCCGCTGGTGGTCCTGCGAGCTTTTGTCACTTGAACCTGTGCGCCGTTGCCGTCTTCGAGAGGCGCTCTTCTTCTTTACTGCCCCGCCGACGGGAGGTGGTGTGGTGTGGGGGAGTCGCGAGTCACGGGGTGCGTCTGGATTTGTTTCTTTGTTTATTTTTTGTTGTTCGTGTGCGCCGCCTCCCACTTTGTGCCTGCATGCGCTGCGTGTCGGGTGGTAGTTCGTTCTAGCTAGGCTTTCGAGCTTCCCTTCAAACACCCAGTTAACTCTTTTTTCAATTCAACATGCGTGAGGCGATTTGCATCCACATTGGCCAGGCCGGTTGCCAGGTTGGCAATGCGTGCTGGGAGCTGTTCTGCCTGGAGCACGGCATCCAGCCCGACGGCGCGATGCCCTCCGACAAGACGATCGGTGTGGAGGACGACGCGTTCAACACGTTCTTCTCGGAGACAGGCGCCGGCAAGCACGTGCCGCGCGCGGTGTTCCTCGACCTGGAGCCGACGGTGGTGGACGAGATCCGCACGGGCACGTACCGCCAGCTGTTCCACCCCGAGCAGCTGATCTCCGGCAAGGAGGATGCGGCCAACAACTACGCTCGCGGTCACTACACGATCGGCAAGGAGATCGTGGACCTGTGCCTCGACCGCATCCGCAAGCTCGCGGACAACTGCACGGGTCTGCAGGGCTTCCTTGTGTACCACGCCGTGGGCGGTGGCACGGGCTCTGGCCTTGGTGCGCTGCTGCTGGAGCGCCTCTCCGTGGACTACGGCAAGAAGTCCAAGCTTGGCTACACTGTGTACCCGTCCCCGCAGATCTCGACGGCCGTGGTGGAGCCCTACAACTCGGTGCTCTCGACGCACTCGCTGCTTGAGCACACCGACGTTGCGGCGATGCTTGACAATGAGGCAATTTATGATTTGACTCGACGCAACCTCGACATTGAGCGTCCGACGTACACGAACCTGAACCGCCTCATCGGCCAGGTTGTCTCCTCGCTGACGGCCTCGCTGCGCTTCGACGGTGCGCTGAACGTGGACCTTACGGAGTTCCAGACCAACTTGGTGCCGTACCCGCGTATCCACTTTGTGCTGACGAGCTACGCGCCGGTGATTTCGGCGGAGAAGGCGTACCACGAGCAGCTCTCCGTCTCGGAGATCTCGAACGCGGTGTTCGAGCCTGCGGCGATGATGACGAAGTGCGACCCCCGCCACGGCAAGTACATGGCGTGCTGCCTCATGTACCGCGGCGACGTGGTGCCGAAGGACGTGAACGCTGCCGTCGCAACAATCAAGACGAAGCGCACGATCCAGTTTGTGGACTGGTCGCCCACTGGCTTCAAGTGCGGTATCAACTACCAGCCCCCGACGGTGGTGCCCGGTGGCGACCTCGCCAAGGTGCAGCGTGCGGTGTGCATGATCGCCAACTCGACCGCCATCGCGGAGGTGTTCGCGCGCATCGACCACAAGTTCGACCTCATGTACAGCAAGCGTGCGTTCGTGCACTGGTACGTCGGTGAGGGTATGGAGGAGGGTGAGTTCTCTGAGGCCCGTGAGGATCTCGCCGCCCTGGAGAAGGACTACGAGGAGGTCGGCGCGGAGTCTGCGGACATGGAGGGCGAGGAGGATGTGGAGGAGTACTAGAGGATGAGCCGCTCCTGGGTTCCTGCTCGTCATTGGTAGGCTTTTTTTCTTTTGGATGATTTTTCCCGCGGGCGCCAGCACGGTGCGAAGAAGGAAGGAATGTCCGGGCGTGTACCGTTGTAGGGAGGGAGTGGGATGTAGGGAGGGGTGTAGGGAAGTAGGGAGGGAGGGAGGGGGCAGGGGGAGGGACGCGGAGGGGCTGCGGCAGCGTGCTGGAATGGGGCTTGCCGGTGGTGCGTAGTGCCACCCGCGTGTTGCCGTGGCTTCTTGGCCCCTCCCCCCTCCCCCTCAACACCTTCACTTCTCTCGTTTTTTTTTCTTTTTCTTGGTCTTGTGACTTTGTTCTTCCCGCCTCCTGCGTTTTCTCTGCCGCCGCTTTCGTCTCCTCCTCGCTGGAGCCCCCCCCCCTCCTCCTCAGAAAAAGAGAAGGAACTTCCCTGCTTTTCCTCCGCCTTTTCTTTTTGTTTGCTTTGCTTTGCCTTGCCGCCGACGGCGCGGGGATTGCTTGTCGCACTCGGGGCAGATCTATCTAGCGGACTTATTTTTCCAGACACCGAGCGAAAGCCAGTGAGGAAAGGACAAGAAAGACAAACGAAAAGGTAAACATCAAGAGCAATAATAACAAATGCGTGAGATCGTGTGCGTTCAGGCCGGCCAGTGCGGCAACCAGATCGGCTCGAAGTTCTGGGAGGTGATCAGCGACGAGCACGGCGTGGACCCGACGGGGACGTACCAGGGCGATTCGGACCTTCAGCTGGAGCGCATCAACGTGTACTTCGATGAGGCGACGGGCGGCCGCTACGTGCCCCGTGCGGTGCTCATCGACCTGGAGCCCGGCACGATGGACTCCGTGCGGGCTGGGCCGTACGGGCAGATCTTCCGCCCGGACAACTTCATCTTTGGCCAGTCCGGCGCTGGCAACAACTGGGCCAAGGGCCACTACACGGAGGGCGCGGAGCTGATCGACTCCGTCCTGGACGTTTGCCGCAAGGAGGCGGAGAGCTGCGACTGCCTGCAGGGCTTCCAGATCTGCCACTCCCTCGGCGGTGGCACGGGCTCCGGCATGGGAACGCTGCTCATTTCGAAGCTGCGCGAGGAGTACCCGGACCGCATCATGATGACCTTCTCCATCATCCCGTCCCCCAAGGTGTCCGACACGGTCGTCGAGCCGTACAACACGACGCTGTCTGTGCATCAGCTGGTGGAGAACTCGGACGAATCGATGTGCATTGACAACGAGGCCCTGTACGACATCTGCTTCCGCACGCTGAAGCTGACGACGCCAACGTTCGGCGATCTGAACCACTTGGTGTCCGCTGTGGTCTCCGGTGTGACGTGCTGCCTGCGCTTCCCCGGCCAGCTCAACTCCGACCTGCGCAAGCTGGCGGTGAACCTGGTGCCCTTCCCGCGTCTGCACTTCTTCATGATGGGCTTCGCCCCGCTCACGAGCCGCGGCTCGCAGCAGTACCGCGGTCTGTCCGTGCCTGAGCTGACGCAGCAGATGTTCGATGCGAAGAACATGATGCAGGCTGCCGACCCGCGCCACGGCCGCTACCTGACGGCGTCCGCGCTTTTCCGCGGCCGCATGTCGACGAAGGAGGTGGACGAGCAGATGCTCAACGTGCAGAACAAGAACTCGTCCTACTTCATTGAGTGGATCCCGAACAACATCAAGTCGTCCATCTGCGACATTCCGCCCAAGGGCCTCAAGATGGCTGTCACCTTCGTTGGCAACAACACCTGCATCCAGGAGATGTTCCGCCGCGTGGGCGAGCAGTTCACGGCGATGTTCCGCCGCAAGGCGTTCTTGCACTGGTACACGGGCGAGGGCATGGACGAGATGGAGTTCACCGAGGCGGAGTCCAACATGAACGATCTCGTGTCTGAGTACCAGCAGTACCAGGACGCCACCGTCGAGGAGGAGGGCGAGTTCGACGAGGAGGAGCAGTACTAGATTGGGTGGCCGCCGGTGCAAGGGAGGAGGACGACGATGACAACGATGGGGTGGGGGAGGTGTGAGGGCCGCAGTATTGACGACGTCCATCCTCCCCACGGCTCTTTCGTGCGTCTTTTCTTTTTCTTTTCTCTTCTTCTTCTTTGGGGTCGCTTTGTTTCCCTTCTATTTCTTTGGGTGGGGGGTTTTATGTCCGGGGCTCCGTTGCCTCGCGAGGGGGGGCGAGTGCATGTCCATATTGGGGCTAGGGACGGCGGAGGATGGTGGACAGGCGGGGAGATGTGAGGAGGAAGGGGTGGGCGACGGGGTGCTGCTTTCTGGTGCGTGTGCGTTTTGGTGTTTGCTGCGCATGTATTGTTTGGTTTTTTTTTTTTGGTGTTGGTTGCTTTGGTGGCGGTAGAGTTTCGAGTCTGTTAGAGCGAATGAGCGCGGGTTTTAATGAGGAGGCGGCGTGCACGCTGCTTGTGGGCTACGATGGCGGTGGTGTGAACTTGAAGGAGCTGAAGGTGGCGCTGGAGAAGGGGGATATGGTGGCACGAGCGGAAGCGCTGGAGATGATGATTAGGCTCCACTTGAACGGTGAGTTGCAGAACCACATGATCATGTCCGTCATAAAGTACATAACGCCGCTGGAGGACCATCATATCAAGAAGTTGATGCTGTACTTCTGGGAGATTGTGCCGAAGACTGACAAGAATGGGAAGCTGCTCTCTGAGATGATTCTGATCTGCTCTTTTCTTCGTGAGGATCTGCTGCACCCGAACGAGTACGTGCGGGGTCTCACGCTGCGGTTTCTGTGCAGGGTAAAGGAAAAGGAGCTGGTTGAGCCGCTGATCTCGGCGGTGGTGCAAAATCTGACGCATCGGGTGACGTATGTGCGCCGCAGTGCCGTCATGGCCGTACACGCCATCTTCAAACGGTTTCCGGAGTTTCTTCCCGATGCACCAGAGTTGGTTGAGAAATTTATTGCCGACGAGAATGACGTCTCGGCGCGGCGAAACGCCTTCGACATGCTTGTTGAGTGTGCTCCTGAGCGGGCTGTGCGATTCTTAACGGCCTTCCGTGGGTCTGCGAACATGGCGGATGCGGGCGCCGCATTTCAGATGTCGGTTGTGGACTTTGCGCGGCAAATGATACGGGCGAATCCGAACGACAAGGCGAAGTATGTGGCCGTCCTGTTCAGTGTGTTGCAGTCGAAGGATCCGGCAGTGCGCTACCAGTGCGCCTCCACACTGCTGAGTCTCTCCTCCTCCCCTACCGCGATTCGACAGGCCGCCATTACGTTCATTGATTTGCTGAAGACGCACTCAGATAACAGTGTGCGGCTTATTGTGGTGGATCAGCTGGACGGCATGCGGGCGAGGTTTGGCGACATCCTTCAGGACTCCCTTTTGGACGTGATGAGCGTCTTGGCAAACAGTACCACGGAAATGGCCAAAAAGGTGGTGACGCTGGCGGTGGAGCTTGTTTCCAGCAAAAACGTTGAGGTCTTTCTGCAGACCATGAAGAAGGAGCTGCTGCGGTCGCAGGGCGAGGGAGACATTTTGGATCAGTCATCGCTTCAGGAATATAAGCAGCTTCTGATTCGCGCCATTCGCACCGCCGTTCTTCGCCAGCCACACATGGCCGCCGCCGTGTTGCCTGTGATGATGGATTATGTATGCGATTCCTCCAGCGGGGGCAGCGAGGTTATTTTGTTCATCCGGGAGGTTCTGCAGGTGCAGCCGTCGTTGTGGGCCGGAACCTTGAAACAGCTGCTTGAGATCTTCCCCCTGGTCACCTCACCGGGGGTGATTCGGACTATCCTGTGGCTGTTCGGCGCGCACGTCTCGTCGGCGGATGAAGTGCTGGCGGTGCTCACGCTATTGGTTACCTCGCTGAAGCCGCTGCCTCTCATTCCACCTGTTCTACCGGCGGCCGACGCCAACGGAGAGCCAACTGCGGCACAGTCCCCCGTCATGCGGGCAGTGACGACAGTGAGGGAGGACGGAACATACGCCACGTCCTACACGGCTGTCCCAACAAATGAGATCGTGGCAGCGGCGGTGGCTGAAGACGGCAGCGAGTCATCGACTGGCCTACGCAGCCTCATCACGAAGGGAGACTACTTTCTTGCCTCCGCGCTTGCCAGCGCCCTGTCCAAGCTTGTTATTCGTATGTTCATGAACTGTGGCAGCGGCGTTGATGCGACGGTGAAGGGCAAGGCACAGGATGAAGCGCTGATGCTGCTGCATGAGATCATCCGCTACGGCACCGCCCCTGACGCGGCGTACGCGATGGACGAGGACTCCCAAGAACATATTCGTTTGTGCATCAATACTATTGTGAACCCGCAGTCGCCGTTTTTGCAGTCTTTTATAGATGATTCCTACAAGGCACTGGGCACGGTGGAGAGCAGCGTGGTTGACACCATCGTTGGGGAGACGCTCCCAGACGGCACCTCCAAAACGAAGGGGTCAACTGCTCTCTGCAGCATCGACGCCCCCGTCATCTTCACGCAGCTGGCACAAGGGAAGGACGCCTTTCTCGAGCTGGAGGTCGCGGATGACTTGGACTCTGTTGTCGCGAACACCTCCATTGACAAGACGGAGGAGTTCCTCAAGCGTCTGGAGAAGACCATGCCCCTTTCTGGCTTCTGCGACCAGGTCTACTGCGAGGCGAGTGTGACGGTGCACCAGTTTGATGTCTCTGTGGACTGGTACCTCGTGAACCGGACCTCGCATCAACTGCATGATTTAACCATCGAACTGGCCTTCCTGGGCGGCATGAAATTGTGCGAGCGGCCGCAGATGCACAGTTTGCCCCCCTATGGCAGCCTTAAGCTCCGCACGGCTCTCAAAGTGAGCTCCACTGAAACGGGCGTCATCTACGCCAGCGTTCTCTACGACACCCCCAACGGTGACCGCGCCTGCGTCACACTGAACGACATTCATGCTGACATAATGGACTACATTAAACGCGCCTCGTGTCTGGCAACAGAGTTCCGCGAGAAGTGGGGCACGTTTGACTGGGAGAACACCATCGTTGTCAATACGGCGAAGACGGAACTTCGTGACTACGTGGAGTTTGTGATGAACGAGACAAACATGCAGCTTTTGGAGCCCTATCAGGAAGTGAACGAGGAGGAGCTGCAGGGTCTTTCGCCTTCAGACGAGAATGACGACTGCCGCTACGTCTCGTGTAGTCTGTACGCCCGCACCGTCTTTGGCGAGGACGCGCTGGCAAATGTGTCCATCGAGAGGGACGCGCAGGGCAGGATCAGTGGCGTGGTGCGTGTTCGCTCCAACACACAGTCCATCGCGTACGGCATAGGAGAGAAGCTTAGCTTACTCGAGAAGGGGGTAACTAACTAGTGGGTCCACAACCGTTCGGCTGTTTCTATCATCTGCATCTGCTCCGCGGGGAGTGAAAGTTAGGCAGGCAATAACGGCAATTCCGGAACGAGAGGGAGAGAGATAGAAAGAAAGAGGGATAGAGCAAGATAGTGAAAACAAGGAGAAAGAGGGAAGGGACCCAAACCGTGCGAAGGCGTGATGGGTGGGCTGGAGACCGCACGGTGTTTTGTGTGTGTGTGTGTGCGTGTGCCTTTCTCTTTTTTGCGGGGGGGATGATGACTAGTGCCCACCCCGCGCGGAGGTTGGGGCTTGCGATGGCGCCGCTAGGCACTTTCATGTTTTTACTTTGGAGAACAGCAGCAAACATATATGCAGAAAATATGAGGAAACGCAAAGTGGAGTTGCATTGACGGAATTCAAGCGGACGACAGCAGCATCAGCGCCCAACAGACATTTAAGTCGGCGTCTATGCTTCTGTGCGTGTGTGTGTGCGCCTTTCTCTCCTTTATTATTATTTTTTATTTTTGACAGTGTCTTTTTTGTGGCTCTACGCCTTGTACTGCGTCTTGACTCTTTTCTCTTTACTTCCTCTCTTCATATGTTAGACGCCAGGCACAATGTTATTTAGCCCCGCCATTAGTGAGGCGGAAATACAGGCGGTGCAGGACGGAGTCGCAAATGACGTCCGCAGTGACGGGCGGACGCTGACGCAGCGGCGGTCATTCACCATCCGCAGAACCCACAACGCGGGGGCCTCGCTTACGGATATGGAGTACGACGGCAGCTGCGTGGAGGTGCAGTGCGGTGGCACCACCGTCGTGGCCGCTGCAACCCCATCCGTCGTCGAGGTGGGTGGGCGAAGTGAGGCGGCGTCAGCAGGAAGGGCGCGGGGCCCACTGTTCATCAGCATTGACGCTGTGCCCGCCGTGGTGGACTATTACGCCCAGACGCTGCGTAACCGTGGTGCCCGTTACCGTCATGCGTTTCTCTCTTTTGTGGCCACAACTGTTCGCCAGACCTTCGGCGCCGCGGGGGTGACAGTGCGCGAGCAGTTGGGCGTGGCAGAGGCAGAGCGCCTCGACGAGGGGGAAAACGCTGCGACGACGGATGATCATGCCAACGACGAAGGTGCGGGTGGTGAGTTGCGGCAAGGCAAAGACCTCGAGGAGGAGGCGTGGAGCGGTGTTGGATTTCCAGGCGAGGACCTGTACATTGGCGGCGGCTACGCGTTCCGCACAGACGTGGACGTTCACGTGCTACAAACAAACGGCGGAAACCTTCCCTCCATCATCTCCCTTGCGGTGCACGCCGCACTAAAGTCGATGCGGCTGCCGTGCGTCACCCTGCATGAGGCCTCTGGCGGCGTGTCGCTGGAGGTGGATCGGAATAAACCCTTTCGCCACCCCGTGGACTGGTCGCGGCTGCCCGTGCTGACTGTCCTGCTGATATCCCCTACACGGCACTACGTCGTGGACCCCACTCCCCTGGAGGAACTGGCGCTGCCGCAACAACTCCACCTGGCCGTTAACGCAGCAGGGCAGGTGTGCTACATGCGGTACCAGCAACTCCCGTCACGCCGCGGCAATGCATGGCGGCTGGGGACTGGCGCCCAGCGGGGTGGGACGGGCGACACGGCGGAGTCGCTGCTTCCCACCGGAATCAACGTGCCGGATTTGGATGCCGTGCTGCATGACGTGCCATACATTTGCCAGGCGATAATCTCTGAGTGTGACGAGGCCCTCCATAAAAGCGAGTAAAGAAGCAATTCTTTATCCTTCGCCTCGCCCCTCCTACGGTTTCTCTCTCTTTCTCACTGCGTGTGTGTGTGTGCTGTTTTCTCGGGAAGGTAACGACGTAAAAGGGAAAGAGTGCTTGCGAGCTGCAGGAATGGGGGGAGAGCGCAAAGACGTCTCGCGGGGGTGAAGGCGTGAGTGAGCGAAGGAAGGAGGGCGGTTGCCGTGGCGGGGTTTATGCGCCTCTGCGTGTGTGTATGTGTGGGTCTTCCCACTGCCCCTCAACCCTCCTCTCTCTCTCTGCGTGTTTTACGTTTTTTTTTTTTTTGTTGTGTGTCTGTGTGTGTGTTATCATTGCTGCGTGTGCAGCTTCCGCAGGTCTCTGGCCAGAAGAGGACCCGAGCTTCATTAGAGAATCGTTTTTTTTTCCCCGGTGTTTCCCGCCGCAGCTTCCTTCAGCAGCTGCAAACATATCCCGCCTACACCTGCGTTGTTGTGGCTGCTCTGCGTGCACGCAGCTCATATGAAGATTCGTGAGGTCAACTTCAATGCAACGGCCCTGCGTGGGAAGGCCGAACCTCCCATGGCGACGTACATCAGCCCGCCACGGCCAAATAAGCAAAAATTGCTGCCACAGCCACAGTTGCAGCGGCAATCATGTGTCGCACCCACGTCATCGCCTTCGCAGTCCTACTACGCTGAGGCCGAGACGGAGGTGTACGCTTCGTCCTTGCTCTCGTCGTACGCCGCCGCGACGGACCCCACGCGTATGATGGACCTGGATGAGGGGAGCTACGCACAGTGCCCCTGTGCAACCTGCGCGCAGTACCGCGCCTACTACGCGATGAAGATGTCGGAAAGTTCGGAACTGCGACCTGAGACTTTGCATGCGGCGCCCGCAACATGCATCCCAACTATTTACGACCAGCAGCAATCACTGCCACAAACGCAGCAGCAGCAGCAGCAGCCGTCCATGATGACCACAATGCAGCGTCAGGACGTGCCGCCTGTGCTAACCATAGGGGTGCAGCGGCCGAAGGTGCAGGTTGCATCCCATGCCAGCGTCTTCAACCAACCACCGCCACCGCCACCACCACAGCTACAGCTACCACAACAGCAGCAGCACGCAAAACTGTGTGTGACACCGACGGTTTCTGCGTCCATGGCACATGATACGTTGCTCCCGCTTGACACTGCCGAAGAGTTTGAGCGGAAGTGTGTGGGCCGCGTGGTGGAGTTGGCCTGCACTGCCGAGGGCCGCTCCATGCTGTTGGCCGCCGTGCGCTCGCAGGATGCGATGGTAATCGATACAATGGTGAACGAGATTGTCGCGGATGTGGAGACAGTGGCGCTTGACAATCATGGTTGCCACATTTTGCGTGTGCTGAAGGACTACATGAATGCCGAGCAAACGGCTTTGCTGGTATCTTCGTTCAGCGAGACGTTGGTGCTCAACCTGTGCACCGTGTCGCAGTATACGCGACGCATTCTGCAGTCCCTCTTTGAACACCCCCTGATTGATCTCCAGCCCATTGTAAACGTCTTGGCGTCCAACGTCCAGTACCTGGCGGCGACGCAGCAGGGATGCATCTCGCTCATGCGGGTATTTGAGCTCTGCAGCGCGGAGCAGAAGATGCAGCTGATGGCTCCCTTGGTGCCCCTCTTCACCCACATTGCGTTGGATCCCTTTGGCAACTACGTTGTGCAGTGTGCCATTGAACACAGTGGGAAGACGGTGGCCGCGCAGTACACGATGTCCTGCTTTGCCGGCAAGCTCCTGAACATGAGCTGTAACAAATATGCGAGCAACGCCGTGGAGAAGATCATTAAAGTCTGCGGCGATGTGCCCGCGGTGCGGCGGCTGCTGATGGACGAGTTGATCTTCAACCCTGCTGCTCTGCTGCAGATGGTGCAGGACAGCTTTGGCAACTTTGTCGTGCAGTCCATCATTGAACACACGCAGAACCCCACCGAGCTGAAACGCATTTGCGACCGCCTGCGCCCCGCACTGCTGAGCAGCCCTTACGCGTCGAAGATCGAGGCGAAAATTCGCACGAAGGTCTCTACAGTTCAGCTGCAGCAACAACCACACCGGCATCAGGCCCCACGCCAGGGCCAAACGCGTCGGTCGCACCAGCAGCAACGCTGACGGTTATCACGACCATGGTGGCTCTATGAGCGAGGTTTGCCTTGACCATCATCTTTAGATTCAATGCGAGGTGGAAAAGTTTGTCGTGGCCCTGCGGAGGTGAGGACGACGGGGCTTCCCGTTCCCCCCTTTTTTTTGTTCGTGGTAAGCCCGCTCATTGGTTCATTGATAGATGCATATTGGGAGGTATAATGCAGTTTTCCCTCTTTCTTTATTTCTTTCACTCACTCACTCACACACACACACACCGTCTCTTCGCTGCTTCCCACTCGTCCTCTTCTTTGCTTATGCTGAGGGTCCCGCCGTCCCACCCACGGTTTGGCGAAGAAGCACAAAAACAAGAAGAAAAAATGGACGTGGGATGGGGAGAATGAGTGAGTGGGCGAACGGGTGCATATCAGGCCCAATGTGAGGACTGTGAAGGGGACCTTAGAGGAACCAACAGGAGGAGAATCGCGGGATGCGGGGCTTAGGGTGGGTAGCAGCCACATATACATTTGTGTGTGCATGCAGGGAGGCGAGGGTGGTGTGTGTGTGTGACTTAGAGAGTGCATGGGTGAGTGACGATGCATTTCACGATTAGACGACATCACCTCGGCTTTTTTTTCTTTCTTTTTCTTCTTCTGTCGCTACTGACGGCGCCGGTGCTTTACGTCCCCCACATTTTTTTTTTTACTTATTAGTATTTCTCTAGAGGCTCTCCCGCCCTCTCGCACTCACCCACTTTGCTCATTGGATGGTTTGGCTGCCTGACGCGTCCTCGCTGTTTTGCCCACCTACCAGTGAGGCGGGCTGCAGCAGGGCGAGAGCGGAATGAAAGGGGGGTGCGTGTGTGTGTTGGTGTGGGAGATTCAAAATAGAAGAATAGATCGGGTCTCTGACTCTCTTTTTAAGAGAGAAAACAACGGTAACAAAAACATGCTGTTTCTTTGTGCTTGCAGCGGGCGGTTTTGCCGCAGCGGCTTCCGCTGCTCGCGATACTTCTCACGCTTCCAAGTATTTCTCTCACTCTCAGTCTCACTGTCTCTGTTTGCCGCCCCGCCTCTCCCCGTTCTTTTTTTTTGTTTTTGTTTTTGTGGTTGCGTGTGCCCTCCGTCTTCTCCCGGCGAGTCGTAGGGTGCAGCAGGTGCGTGTGACGGCGCCGCACACAACCACGGCACTTTGAAGCGAAGAGCACACACGCACACACACAAAAGAAAGAAGGTGGGAAGGCGGAGCCAGATGCCACACTCGCATGCCTTGTTGCAGCGAAGAAGTGGGGTCTCATCTTATCGTGTACGCTCGCCAGGTGCGGCGACCAGCGTGGACAAGATGCACAGCTTTGCTAGTGGCGCTTGTCCTAACAAGAGACGGCGGAGGTCGCCAGGTGCGTTGGCCCTTGACGTCCCCAGTTTGGGTCCGAGTGAGGATGGCGCCACCGCCACTGCCACCCCTGTGACGGGCGCAGGCGTCTTTGTGGCGCCGAACCCAATTCTTGCCACGCTGTCGACGAGTGAGTGGCTCATGTCCTCACGGGTTCACTTGGCGGACCCCGCTTTGCGCTCATCGATGGAGAGGCCGTTGTTGGGGGTTGTAGTGACCGCCGAGGTGGGTGGATGGTTGCGTGTGCGGGAGCAAAGAAATGGTACAATTCACTACCAACGACGTCTGCGCTCTAGGTGTAATCCCCTGTGCCTGTGCTGGAGCTTGGCATCCTGCTGCACCTTTTTTGTGGGTCAGCAGTGTGGTTTGGTGACGATGCTTCAACTACAACATGAGAGCATCATCGAAGTCGCTGATTGCGTGCTTCACGAGGCGGCAGTCGTGGCGATGACGCGTGTATTTGTACATACACGCGGGAACACGGTCGCTGCCGAGAAAACCTCTGGAATGGCGCAGGAATTGTTGTTAACTCTTGATGCAAACGGCGTTTTGGGTGTGTGGAAAACGGCTGGCCCTTACTGCATGCAGAAGGTTCAGCTGTTGCACCCGCCTTTTCGGTGTCTGACTTCAGATGAGAGCTTGCCAGGTGGCATCTTTGTTCCTGGTGGAGTTGAGGGGGCCTTGGCGGCAGACGGTGGTGCGGGCGGGAGCAGGGGCGGGGTATTTGACGTTGCCCTGCTGGAGTGCCCGTACGAGGTGGGGGCGGCCTGGAGGAGGCGCGTGACGTATGGCGGCACAAGGGCGGCTGTCATCTCCATGGCGCTCGCCCCACGTCCCAGTTCGGCGCCGGCGGGGACAACGCTGACGTTGTGGGGTGGGACGGAGAACGGCGCACTCCACATGTGGGATGTTGCCAGCGGCGCACCGTTGCGCGTTTTACACGAGGTCACTCCCTCGTGTGCACCGATTCACTATCTTCACTGCGTCCCCTGCATTGATCCCCGGCACGTGTGGGTCTGCACGCGAGGCGGGAGCGTCATGTTGTGGGACGCTGGTCGATTGATGCTGCTGAGCGAACTGTCGGTGAGTTACCCGAAGGGCCCCGCCGTGGACACCCCGCATTCCAGCCCACGCCATCCTCACTGCGGCGGTGGTGAGACAGATGCGAACACGTGTTTTCTGCAGCATTTGCTCTCCGATGCGTCGGAGGCCCCCACACACTTTACCCTCTTTGTGAGACCAATCGAACCGGTGCTTACGTTGCGGCTTTGGTCCGCTGCGACAGACGGCACGGTGCGGTCGTGGTTGTGCCAAACAAGTTTGTCGGAGGTTTCTTTGGGGGCGACGCCGGCGAGCTCTGTGGGCCGCAACCCCGACGTCATTGCCATGGAAACCGTCCGTGCGTTTATTGAGGGGAAGGCCCGACTGTTTGCGGAGGAAACCGACGCGCTGCGCAGGGACGTCGCACAGCTCACACGCGAGTCGGCAGCGCTGCAGGCGAGGAACCGCGTGCTGGCGGATGCCTTGAGAGCAGCCACCACCCGCATTGCCTGCCAGCACGACGAGGGTGATGTGGCAAACAGAAGGCCATCTGTGGAGTCGCCACAGCCTCGAGAGCCACCCCTGTCCTCTTTGGGGGATTCACCGCATATTAGCTCGATGCGAGCCGCGTTAGAGGATCTGCGCCGAAGGCTGCAAGACGCCTCCTCCGAAAATGAGCGTCTTTCTGCAGAAAAGATGGTGCTGCGCTTGCGGCTTGCTGAACAACCGTCGAAGCTTGAGTTGGCTCAAGGAGGGGGTGCCGCGTTACTACCTTCTGCGCTGCAGCCTGCGGTGGTCGCGGGAGAGGAGCAAATGACGCTGGAGCGCCTGCAGGAAGAGGTTGCTGCATGCCAGGCAACGAGCGAAGAGTACATGCATCATTGGCGGAGGGAGCAGACCCGCCGTGAGGCGGCAGAGAAGGAGTGCGAAGTGTGCAAGCGGCGTCTGCGGACGCTAGAAGACGAATTGAGTTGCGCCAAGGCCCAACTTTTAGTTTGCACCGCGGGTGCTGCCGCTCGGGTGCAGAATACCACCCACCAGACTGCAGAAGATGGAGACGTGGATGGGGGTAGGCCCTTGGAAAAGCCTGCCTTTTCTTGTGGGGCACTGAGTGGAAGGAGGGACGCCGTCATCGATGGTGCAGCGACGCAGAACTTGGAGTCAGCGTGGAGAGAACTCCACCGGCGGGAGCAGCGATTGGCGGCAGCGCAAGATATGGTGCAGGATAAATGGAGCGACATCCAGCAGTCGCGCGTGGAGGTGGATGCGGAAGCGGCGGAATTACGCCATGCGCAGCAGCGGCTGGTGGAGCGGGAGGCGGGGTTGCTTGAGCATGCGGAACGACTGTGCGCTCTCGAAGAGGAGCTGCGTCGCAGGGAGCGGTGTCTCTTTCAACGGAGGAGTCGCAGCCGTTGACGCGGGGCGTAGGAAGGAGGGGCGGTGATGGGGAGGGTGAGTGCTGGGCGGGGGACGCACTTCTCCCCCCTCTTCCCCTACACCCCTTCCTTGTGTGGGTGTGTGTACACACCGTTGTGAAGTTATCGGCCTGCATCTGAGCTATCGCCCGTCTACGTGTTTTTTTTTTCTCACTCTTTCTCTTTCTCCGCGTGTGCGTGTTGGTGGTGGGGGTGACTGAGAGTCACACAGCCCCCCCCCCCCCCTCGGCCATGACTGGCTGAGGCTGTAGGTGCCTGCCTTGCCTTCGCCAGTTGTCCTCTTAACTTTTTTTTTGTTAAATGTGCTTTGCCTTACGTGACGCGTAGCGGTGGCGGCGGAATGCAGCCCAACAAGGCGGATGAAGCACTGCAGCTGTTTGCGGCGCTGCAGGACGAACTGCAACTGGAGACCCGTAAACGCGACGCCAACCGGGCGGCGCGGGTGGCCAGCGCTGAGCCGTTGTTGCGTGCGTCGTGGCGACAGAGCGGCGACGTGAGGAGAGCCGCTACCTCAGGGCCGCTCCTCGTGCCCCTGCCATCGTCAGCGTCGTCGTCGCAGCAGCCGCCCTCCTCCGTGGCGGGCCTGCAGCGAAAGCTGCAGGTGGCGGATGACATTATGCGACGGCTCCACGCAAAAAACCAGAAACTTCTGCAATGCCTCGCCGCGGTGAGGCGAGCGGAGGAAGACGTCGCCGAAGGGACCGTCAAGCAGCTGCGTGAGAAACTGCAGCAGCGGGAGAAGGAGGTGCGACAGCTGCGGCACCGTCTCCATGAGTCTGAACAAAAAGCCGAGGGCTCCAGTGGTGGTGCGGCCATCGCGCTGCTGACGTTGCGTGTGAGACAGATGGAGAAACAGTACAACAGGCTGCTAGAGGCGAAGTTGACCGATACCCTCAAGGAGAGTTCCGTAAAGGGAATTGACACCGAGGTGCGGGAGCTCTTTATGCTGATGAAGAACAGGATCATCGCCGACGCACGCCACCACGAGGCAGAAGTGCTGCTGCTGAATGAGGCCCTCTTGGAGGCCGAGCGACGCCTTGCCACCGTGCCAGGTGCGGGCGCAGGGTCTGGTGCGTAGTTTGTTTGCACCCACTGTGTGTATACGCCTCTTTTACACACACACACACACACACACCGTCTTGATGATGGGAGGCGACGAGGCCTTGTTGGCCTTTGTAAGTTATTTATTCAACTGGTTACTGCTGATCTTCTTTTTTCTTTTCTTCTTCATTCTGCTCCCTCCTTCTTTTCGTGTCGTTGGTGTTGCACCACCCACGTGGGTAGTTGCAACGGTTACAAGTGCCGTAGTGCTACGAAGGTAGAACCGCCACCAGCAGCAGCAGTAAATAAGAAGAAGGATATACAAAAAGGGAACGGGGTGCCCTGCGAATACACGTGACACAAACCGCTTTGCTAGAGGGATCCGGCGCTCTTTGACGCCACGGGGAGCGACAACCAGAGTGAGGGGGTGAGAGCACGAATAATGACCAACCGCCAAATTATTCAGGTGTTTGAAGAGTACCAAAAGGCACGCGTCAAGTTCGTGCAAACGGTAGCGGACTTGGCCTCCAAGCCGCAACACATTGATGCGCTGCAGCAGGCAGGTGTCATGCAGTTGCTTCGGCCTCTTCTTTTAGACGGTGTTCCTTCCATCCAGCAGTCGGCTGCCTTGGCGCTCGGCCGCCTTGCAAACTACAGCGAGGAGCTCGCAGAAAGCGTCGTCTCTGGCGACATTCTGGCACAGTTGGTGTATTCACTCGGCGACCAGAGCCGGTTTTACAAGAAATCAGCGGCATTTGTGCTCCGCAGTGTCGCACGGCACTCCCCGCAGTTGGCGCAGGCGGTGGTGGACAGCCAGGCGGTGGAGGCTCTCGTTGGTTGCCTGGGGGAGTTTGACCCCACCGTGAAGGAAAGCGCGGCATGGGCGCTGGGATACGTGGCGCGGCACAACGCCCCGCTGGCGCAGGAGGTGGTGGACAAGGGCGCCATCCCACCGCTGGTGCTGTGCGTGCAGGAGCCGGAGTTGTCACTTAAGCGCACGGCCGCCTCAACACTCTCGGATATCGCGAAACATCTGCCCGAGCTTGCGCAGGCTGTGGTGGATCAGGACGCTGTCACGCACCTCGCCCCGCTCATCATGAGCAATGACAGTAAGCTGCGGCGGCAGGTGTGCCAGTGTCTGGCGCAGATTGCGAAGCACAGCGTGGAGCTGGCGGAGCTGGTGGTGGAAGGCGAGATATTTCCCAAGATATTTACGCTCCTCAAGGATAGCGACGAGGCGGTGCGCAAAAACGCCGCCACGTGTATTCGCGAGATTGCAAAGCACACACCGGAGCTGGCGCAGTTGGTGGTGAACGCAGGCGGTGTGGGTGCCCTCGTGGACTACACGAGCGAGTGGCGGGATAGCGCCCGTCTGCCGGGCATCATGACGCTAGGCTTCATCTCCGCCTTCTCCGAGACCCTCGCCCTTGCCGTTATCGTCTCGCACGGCATTCCGCCGCTTGCGGATGCGCTGGAGAAGGAACCAGAGGACCACATCAAGGCTGCCGCCGCCTGGTCGCTTGGGCAGATTGGCCGCCACAGCGCAGACCACGCCAAGGCGGTCGCGGACTGCAACGTGCTCCCCAGACTTCTGGATGTCTACCTGAACCCGAACAGCTCCGACGACCTCCGCACGAAGAGCAAGCGGGCGCTGAAGAACATCATTGAGCGTTGCGTGCAGCTCCCCGCGCTGGAGCCGCTGCTGCACCCGGACGCGCCACAGAATGTGCTCAAGTACGTGTGTGGGCAGTTTGCGAAGGTTCTACCGACGGATATTGCGGCGAAGCGCGAGTTCGTTGCCAACCGCGGCCTTGCCACCGTGCAGCGGATATGTCCCGAGCCCGGTTCGAAGCTTGCAGAGTACATTCAAAGCATCAACAACTGCTACCCGCCTGAGATTGTACAGTACTACTCGCCGCAGTACGCCCAGACCTTCCTGGAGAAGATAGAAAACTACCACGTGCAGCAGGTGCAGCAGAGCTGAGGGAGGCAGAGGACTAAATGGCTTGCAACCCATGTATTATAGGGAGATGTGATGGAGTGAAGGAGAGCAGACACAACAGCGGCGACGATGACGCCAACATCAGTGGCATTTGCAAGGGGAGAAGAAGATGAGAGTGAGCGAGAACTTGGATGTGCACCTGCCCATGTCATATGTGAATACACAAGACGCGGACGGCGTTGCTCATGCTGAGCAGTGGCGCAGCGGGTTCAGCTAGGGGAATGCAAACGTGGACGCGTGTGCTTGTGTGTGTATGTGGCTCTCTTTTGTTTTATTGCAAACAACTTTCCACCCAATCAACAAGAACCCACACAGAAAAAAGAAAAAAAAAGAAAACAAATGAGAAGGGGAGGGGGTATGGATGGGTGGGGGAAAAAAAAAGAAAAAAAACTGGGGTGAAAAGAATATCAGGAGGAGAAGAAGGGAGGCGGGTGCTGAACAGTCCTGCGTCGATTTATTTAATACGTATCTGCGTGGGTTTTTGTGCCTCCCGCGTCCCTTCCCTCCCACACACCATCACTCCACTGCCCCGTCCCGAGAGGTGCGCGGGGGTGGGAGGGCAGGCGAATGTATGGAAACGTGGGCCTCGCGCCGCTCTTCAGCAGGCAAAGCATCGATGACCCCACGGAATTAATGGCTGCAGCAGCCGATGCAACGAGAGAGAGTGAGAGAGAGAGAAAGATGGCGAGGGGCGGCGGGGATGCCACGTGGTTGTGATGCTCGCCGTCGCGTCGCCTCCTGCTGTTGCTACTCTCTGCGTCACCCACTTGAATTGTGCCTTCTCTCTCTTTCTTTCTATTCTCTTCTTCTCTTTGTGTGGGGTGCGCCTCCGGCGGTTGCGCGACCACGGGACCGGTGCCCGCACGACGTCTACCCCAATGCGGAATCAAAGATGCAGTGAAGGAAGGAGTGACGTGGACGCGCCCAATCGAACGCGTCACTCATCAGTCACGTAGGTGAAGGTGCCTCTTTCACTTTTTTTTCCCTCTCTTTCTCACTGTGTGCATGCGCGCAAAGCGAGAGCGGGGCAGGGTGGAACGAGAGAGTGATGTGGCGGGCAGCGCGTTTTCCGACCATTGTGCTTGGCAGACGCCCTTTTTCCCGCCGTCCGCGGGTGCTGCAGTTGCGTTTGGTAAGCATGCAGTGCTGCTGCGGGCGTCGCCCGATGCACAGCCGTGCAGAAAGCGACCACGCACGATGGTGCATGCGCACGATCGGTGGAAGCAGCATATTCGTCAAGCGCTGGACTTGTTGCTGCCCCCCACAGAGAGTGAGGGCGAGACGTTTTGTAGGCGGCACGTTGTGTTGGAGGTGTGTCACGTCTTGCGTGACTGCTGGCAGTTTCACGGGCGCCCACAAGACATCTTTGAACCCGTACATTCTTTGAGCCAAGTGGCGCAGCACCTGCTCACTACCTACGGCGGGTACTGTTTGACGGAGGACGGACAATATCTTTTCTTGCAAGCTGAGGAACGGATGCCGTACGTGGGCTTTCTTCTTGTTGTGTTGCAGCAGCTTTTGGCGGAGTATGACGAGAGCCGCGGGAAGTTGCAAACGGCGGCGATGTGGCCCCACTATCTCACACGGTTTGCGGGAGACAATGGTGTGCGTCTCGTGATTTTGAGACACGGTGGGTTTGACCGGCCGCATGGACATGTTAATGCTGCTGAGCGCGAGGCAGATGCGGGCGGACCTCCATGTGGTGGGACTGGGCGCGTATCGCTGCAGGCGCTGCTGCATGAAGTGGTGGGAACCTCGAACGAACTCAGCGTGGCGCTGCTTGCAAACTTTCGTCTGAACGAGGAGGATGCCGTTCCACTTGCCAAGAGCCTTTGCGCGGAGTGCTTTTCCGCTGGGTCGCAGGTCGGTGGTGACTGTGGTGTGATGTCTCTGGTGTCTGGCACCGATGCTGGGACGGCGTGGGCTGCGGGAGGCAGGTGCCCTGATACCACTCCCAGGCAGGCTGTTAGCTGCGGCCGTTTCAGCACGCGCAGCGTGTCCGCCCACGCGCTTCTGCTTGGCCCCATGGGGCCACTTTTGATTCACTTGCAGCAACATTGCCATCTGTATCCTCAGCGCGGCGGCAGTGACGAGGCTGAGGAAGTGCGCCTGTGGGAGTGGCTTCAGCGTTTTGTGTGCGTGCCGCAGCCTACTGTTATTGTTCAGTGGGGCGGCAATGACACGTCCACAGCGGCGGATCCGCTTTCGCGCCTAACCAGCCTGAGTGATGTCGGTGGCGGGGATGGCTGTTCCTTGCGGAGGTATCACAGCTTCTTGCCAGAGGCAGGCAATAATTATAACCATGTGTGTGGCAGTGAGCTCTGCGGGAACTCGCCGGTGTTGTATGTGCGGGATGCGACGCTGGCGCTGGAGTGCGCTACGAGTTCACCTGTAGGCGCTGGCGTGTGCCAAGTATGGTGCGTGCGCATGTCTCCATATTCCTGATGCAGTAGTGGCGACAACAACGGTAACGCAAGCGCGGGCAAAGTAACAAATTTGCACTCGTAGAGAGCGAGAAGCTCACGAACGGACATATTTTTCTGTTTGTTTGTTTTCTCTCTGCGCATCTCCGTGCAGGTGGTTCCGTAATTCTTCGCCATTCTCGATGGGGTGCTTGAATTCAGCTCCGCGCACTTACGGTGTGTGGGCGCGTGTCGGTTTGTGCGTGCGCGGGCCCTGTTAAACCGTTTGAGTCGTGTTTCCGCCTTCATTTGATCTTCTCATTCTGCGCTTTTTTTTTCTTTTTGCCTCCTTTCGTTGTCTCACATCTGCTGCTCTCCTCGGGTGGGTGGGAAGAAGGGGCCTAAACAAGTCAGGCAAAAGAAGTGAGGGAGGGAAGAGAAACAGGAACGCGGCGGCCATGTTGAGGTTGTGCTTCATCCTCCGGGCGGCAGCGTCATCATCATCATCATCATTATCATCGGCTTCGGCGTCGCGGGTTGACGTGAAGGGTAGTGAGTGTCAGAAGCATCAGCATGAGGCGTTCATGCGGTTCTTGACGGCGAACAAAGCCAGCTTCGACGGGGTGGATCTGCGGCCGAGTGTGGAGCAGAGCCGGGGTCTGTTTGCCACGCGGAAGTTTCGGGAGGGCACGACGGTGCTGTCGGTGCCGATGCACACGTTTGCCATCAACGCAGAGCGGCTGCTGGCCGGGGAGCGTCTGCGCGCGCTGCACCCCCCCTCACTGGAGGACGTCCAGCGACTCTTGACTGCACGCAGCATCAAGGACCCTGTTCTGTGCGAGCAGGTGCACCTGGCACTCCTCGTTGCAGGGGAGCGCATGGACCCAAGCTCATTTTTCACCCCCTACTTTGACATTCTGCCGTGCCCCGCCGTCAACGATGAGGCGGTGATGCGGCTGCACAAGGACGTGCTGGACCCTATGCAGCTTGTGGAGTGGGATGACCATCAGCGGGAGTGGGTCAGCGTCTTCCGTACACTGGCACGCCGCTGGGGGGACAAGAGCCCACCCGTTGAAGTGTGCTACTGGGCGTGGCGGACGGTGCTGAGCCGCATGCACCTGCTTCCGGACCATGGTCTGGCTCCCGCAGAGGTGGGATCCACGCTGAACTACTTTGCACTCTCCACCTTTGAACGGGCGGAGCGGCAGACGCGGTGGCGAAAGCGAATTAGGGCCGCCATTGGCGCTGTACTTGGCGACCCCAACGCTGCGGAGGACTACCGCCTCGTCCCAGCTCTTGTGCCGCTGTTGGACATGACAAACCACTTGTCCTCCGGAAACGTGAGTGTAGAGGTGCAGCCCCGCCCAGTGGTCGGGAGCTGCGCGGAGTTGCAGGCCGTGCGGGTGATTGAAGCCGGGGAGGAGATTGGCTTGTGCTTCAACCGATCACACAGGGCGCCCTTTACGCTTTATCGCTTTGGGTTCCTTCCCGTATGAGGATGAAAACAAGGAAGATGCAGACACAGGAGGAAACGGGGGATGCCCGTGTGTGTGTGTGCGTGCCGGTGCTTTGCTTTGGTGGAGGCGGAAAAAGTGGGTTGGGGCGGTGTGTGTCTGTGCGCTTTCCTCCCTCTCCGCGTCACTCTCTTTTCCTCCTTTCTCGCACGCCACGTGCCTTTCCGCATGGGGCCCGGTGGGCGAAGCAGCGGAGAGGCGGGGGCAACTCAACAGTAAGGAGACGCAAAGGAAGAGAAGAAAACGAACAAGGACAACAGCGGCAGCGGCGACAAAAGACACACACACACACACACTCAGGCAGGGAGGGTGGGAGAGAGCTGGGGAGGCGGATTTGCCGCCGACCGACCACCAATGTCGCTGCCGCACGAAAAAGAAAGTCAACTGCAAAAGGACGAGTAGGCGAGGCGAGTAAAAACACTCAAACCAAACACGAGAGAGAGAGATAGAGAGAAAGGGAGAGAAATCGTCTGGGGTGTGTGTTGCAGCTACTGCGCGCCGCGTCTGGCGACGTTGAAAGGGGCAACACACGAACGCGTGGTTTTCGTCTCTTGAATGCAGGTACCGTTATTAACGCGGGCCCGCTCGTTGGCCTCGAGCGTCACGGAAAAGTTGCGAGTTTTTCCTGGCGATGTCATTTGGCCTTTTTTTCTGCTGACGGGGGAGTACGCTCATGTGTGCGTGATTGCCTACCGCACGTTTATCCACTTCCGTTTGCGACAGGCACTGCGCGTGATCTTCGGTGTTCCTGTAAGTGGTGTTGCGCTGTACATGGCTCATGCCGCGTGGGCGTGGTACCCGGAGCCGGCCGCCGCCATAGACACAAGCTCCGTCGCGGGATGCCGCCCCGTCTTTCGTTCCACCGCTGAACTCCTGGACTTTGCCTCCACGTGCTCTCGCCGCTACCACCGTCTCTTTGAGGAGGGGGATGACATGAGTTCAGCCTGCCTGAACGAGTTGGTGGGTGACATGCTCACCATCCTGCGCTCCATTGAGGCGATCGAGGGGAGTTTTGAGGAGCGGGAGTTGGTGACGGCCTCGCTGACTGTCACGGATCCATCACGCGGGGTGGAGCAGGAGGCGTCACCCGCGGAGGCGGTGTTGCGCGTCGTGCTGCTCATCTCGCTGGATCAGGGATGGTTCGACATCGTGGAGGAGGCGCGGAAGATGTACAGCAATCTCGTGCGAGAGCGGCCTGTGCCGCTGCAGGCGAACGTGACGAGCGCCGTGGCGGATTTGTGCGCACTTTCGTACGAGCTGGAGAGTTGCGCGAGTTCGGCGGAGGTGACGATGCCGCAGCGTCAACGCGTGGCACGCGCCATTGACGCGTTTCGTCCAGGGAGCTCCGTGCGGGAGCGCTGCACCATTGCTGCGGAAATTGGCGTTCTTCCTCTTGTGGATCTTGACAGGACGACCCGCTGCCTCATGCTGACGCGTCGCAGCCCCGGGCGGCGACCGCAGCTGATCATCACGTTTGTCGGCTCAAACAGCGTGCGGAACTGGTGGAGGAACCTCCGCTGTGACCTGACGGAGCTCCCCGCGGCGTTTGGTGTACAGGCGTGTGTCCACAAGGGGTTCCTGCAGCTGCTGCAGTCAGTCGCGTTTGAGGAGGTCGCTGCGGGCTTTGACCAAATTATCCTCATCGGTCATAGCATGGGCGGTGCGCTGGCGCAACTCGCCGGGCTCTACTTGGCGAACGAGAGGCCTGAGAGGCGTGTCACGGTTCTGACGGTGGCCTCCCCACGTGTTTTGTCCTCTCCGCGCGGAGTTTGGCGGCGCGGCGCGGATTGGATACGTGGTCGCGGCGCGGCGGGGAGGGAAGCGCTGATCGCGCTGCCCAGCAACTTTCGCCATATACGTGCCTTCATGTGTGCGGACGTGGTGCCGCGGCTGCCTCCCGCCTTTCTCGGGTACCAGCACGTGGGCACGCCGCTGCCGCTGCACACGGGGTGCCCCACGCGGATGTCTTATTTGGGTTGGGGGCTGTGGTCCTGCCTGTTTCACACTGCGGATATGTACAAGGCGGTGCTGGAGAGACCAGCAGTGGCGCAGCTTCATCGCTACGACTATGCGTTAGCATCTTCTACCCATTGAACCCGGCGGTTGTGCGAGTGTGTGTTGCCTGCCCGCATGTTTCCGAGTGTCTGTGCGTGGTGTGCTGTCATATATATATATAATGTTATTTCATATATATTGCTTCACTGCCGCCGCCTGTCGTCGCACCTTTTTTTTTTCTCTCACTTCTTCTTCGTTGCCCGCCGCATCCTCCTCCCCACGCCCCTTCGGACGGCAGAGGAAACCAAGACGACAAGCTCTGCAACAATGGAGACAAGAAAAAACGCGCACCGTTTGAACCGCATCTTTCGTAAGCCCAAAGTGATGGTGGCGCCCCGCAGTTGGCGAGAAGAGGGCGACGAAAACCACCTGCACGGCGGCGTGCCACTCGCGCTGCTGAATGCGATGGTGCAGGAGCTCACGGACGAGGACAAGACCCTTGCAGCAGCCCAACAGGACCCGCCTTCTGTTCTGCAGGAGGAACTCGCCAAGCGTGCGGCCCGCTTTGGGCTCCCCGTTGATGTTCCCAACAGCACTGCCGCGGGCGCGGCGGACGGTAACGCGGCGCTGCAGAAACGTATGGAGCGTTTTGGCTCGACGAAGACGATGCCGGCCCTGGTCGTAGACGAATTGACGCTCAAAGCCCGCGAGGCCCGCTTCAAAACACAGGAGGGATCCGCGATGGATGAGGCAATGCAGAAGCGACTCGCGCGGTTTGGAGCCGCCCCTGCGCCGGTGGAGCTGAAGCTGTCGGAGGCCGACCGCGAGGCGATGGCACGACGCGAGAGCCGCTTTGCTTCCTGCTGAGTTTCCCTCCTGGAGAAGGAAGAAGGCTGAGGAAGAGCCTGGAGGCGCGCGGTCGCATACCAAGGCCCGAATAGGTGCGGCGTCGGGAGTGGCTCGGGTTTCGTTTCGGGCTCTCTCTCTTCCCCCGCTTTTTATTTTGTTTTTCAATTTTAAAAAGAAGAGAAAATAAATAAATGAAGAGAAAAATAAAAGGAAAAGAAGGATCGTCGCGGCCGCGGGCGGTGTGTCTTCCTGTGGGGCGAGGCGTCGTCTGCGTCTGCGTCTGCAGCCGCCCACCGGCAAAGGAGGCGGACGAGGGAGAGGCGATCGCGCGCGGAGGAGGGGTAGAGTGAGACGAATAGGGGTGAGGAGGGGCCGATTGGAGCGCAAAGGGCGCTGCGGAAGAAGTGGGGACTTTCATGGCGGATGAGGGAAGAACAACTCCCTTCCATTGCCCGTCGCCGTGGGTTGGTTTGCTTCGCTCTGTTCGCGCGCCGCTTTCGACTCCGGTGGCCTCGGCGTGCGCTGTTTTTATTTTTATTTTTTATTCCTCCTCTTTTTGTTTTGCCTGCGTGTCTGTTCGCCGTGTGCGTGTGGGAAGTTTGCTGTGTGGCGCTCTTCCTCCGCTAGCTGTCTTTCCGCCGGCGTGGCCGAGGTGGCGTGGATGTCCGGGCGTTCCCCCAGAGGCAAGGCGGCGGCGCCGGCACCGGCACAGCCGCCTGTTCCGGTGCAGCTGACACATTTAGTTCCGGTGCGAGTCGTCAGCGTGCACGGCGATTTTTTCGACACGGAGCTGCACCAAGACGCCCCCATGCGCATCCTGCAGCGGGCGGCGGAGGACTGCTTCAAGGTGCGTCCCGAGCTGCAGCTGCTCACGCACAACCGTCAGCAGATCAATCCGAACCTCTCGCTGCGGCGAAACGGCTGCTTGCTGCTCAAGGGGGATCCCTACGTGAAGATTTTGCTCGACATTAAGAAGGGCAAAACGTTGAACATTGTCTGCCAGATGCCGCCCCACGAGCCCGTCCCACTGGCATGCGAGGCCGCTGGCACGGTCTGGGAGGTAAAGAAAAAGTTTTGCACTGCCCTCTCCAAGGCGGAGGTGACGCCCCAGCGCATACGCCTGCTTTGGCGGTACTGGGAACTCAACGACAAGGCGACGCTAGATTACTACCACCTTCCTACCAATGCAAAACTTTCCGTGATGCGGAAACGCGGTTTTGTAGCAACATCGCAGCCGCAGCGGTCTAGGCGTGCGGCGGGCTTCGCTGTGGTGGAGGCGGGTGGGGGTTTTGGAGCGACGGCGGTGGAAGCTAAAACAGCGTCGCCGCATCCGCCCGCTGCTGGGATAGAGAAAATGCAGGAGCGCACGATGGCAGGGCCAGCGGTGTCCATCTCGCCGTGGCCAGCGCTTCCGCGGCAGTTCGGACACGCCGTGATTCCGCTAGATCCGGCAGTGGGCGATCTTGCGGCGCGTTCTCTGGCGAATGAGGCGGGGCCGCGTCCCGAGAAGGGCGCGGAGTTAGCGAGCATTGCGTCTGCATCGGGCATGCTGGAAGACACCCAGCGGAAGCAGGAGCTCGCCTCGCTCGAATGCCGCGTCGCGACAACAGACGACGACCGTGCGGGATACGAATTGCTCGAAGAGTCGTATCGGGCAACGCTGGGGCGTGTGGCCGAATTAGAGGCCACCATGGGACGCTTTCAGCATCTGCTGAAGAAGACGCTCGCTTTGATGTGAGTCTCTGCCTCATGGCGGCGCCGTTGGCTTTTGTTTCTCTTTGGTGGTGTCTGTCGGCTGTCTTTTTTTCGCTGCACCTCTCTATTCGACGCCCCCCTCGCCGATTCCAGGCGGCTCTCATCGTTTTTTTTAAAAAAAACACCTTATTTCTCCTGCTCGCCCTACTTCCCATAGGCCGGTAAACGGAAAAATGTATTAAAAAGCACACTGGCAAGGTGCGGTGGCGGTGCGGAAGTAGCCTCGGGCGTGCTGGCCCTTTTCTCGGCACGCGCCCCGCACCGTGATGCGAGGGTGGGGCGCCCACGGAGACCAGGCGGCGCTTCAAACGGGGTGCCGGCGAAGGAGAAGGGGGCCCGCGCACCACATGCGAGCGCGCCATCACCCAAAATGGCGAAGCAAAACCCGGAGCGCGGGGCCGCCCGCGCCCGGCTAAAAGCAAAAAAGGCGGCAAAATAAATACGGCGCCACCTTCGCCGCCCAGCTGCCTTTGTCCCGCGCAGCCAGCCTGGGGCGTATGCTCCGCCGCGCCCGCACCCAGCCGGGGCCGAGGTTTTCTTTTCTCACATTTCCGCTTCTTGGGGGGGGCGTGCGCTGCGGCGGTGGCCGGCCTGCGGGCCATCCGGCAACTCGCAGAGGGCCGGGGGAGGGTGCTGGCTTCAAACAGAGCAGCCGGTGCCCCAGCGGGCGGTAGTTCGCAACAACTGGCGGCAGCGCGTTGAAAGCAAAAAAGAAAAAAAAACAACGGGCCTGCACGAACGAACGTTTAATTATGAGCGCGCTGCGTGTGTGTCGCGTGAAGTGGGGCGAGAGCCCGCGCAGGAGAGCACACAAAAAAAAAAAAGAAGAGAAGGGCGGGCTGCGCGCGGCTCTTTCGCTCACGCTGCCGCCCCCGCTTCGGGCTTGGAGGTTGGCCCCT